TTCCATTCAATGTGATGATGACACTTTATATGAACCTTAAAGATTATGAAAAAGTTGAGTCACTAATCTCCGAAATGATGGAGAAAAATATATCATTAGATATTTATTCCTACAACATTTGGTTATCATCTCGTGGATCTCAAGGATCTTTGGAAAAATTGGAACAAGCATTTGAACAGATGCTACTCGACACCACCATCAATCCCAACTGGACTACCTTCAGCACGATGGCTACCATGTACTTAAAGTTGGGGCAGTTGGAAAAGGCTGAAGACTGTTTGAAGAAGGTTGAGACTAGAATCACTGGTCGAGATCGAATACCTTATCATTATCTCATGAGTCTTTATGGCAGTCTTGGTATCAAAGAGGAGGTTCATCGGATATGGAACACTTACAAAGCTACCTTTACAACTATCCCAAATTTGGGCTATCATGCTGTAATTTCATCTCTAATTAGATTGGACGATGTCGAGGGGGCTGAAAAGATCTACGATGAATGGCTTTCAGTGAAATCAGTTTATGACCCCAGAATAGGAAATCTTCTATTGAGTTCTCATGTCAGGAAAGGTCTTTCTGAAAAAGCCGAGTCATTCTTTGATCAAATGATTGAAGGGGGAGGACAACCGAGTTCTATGACATGGGAGATTCTGTCGGAACATCACATCAAAAACAGGAGGATTTCTAATGCTCTGTCTTGCTTAAAGAATGCTGTTTCAGCTGGGGGTTCGAAGGGCTGGAGACCAAAAGCCATAAATGTCTCTTCCATTCTCAAGATTTCCGAGCAAGAAGCTGATATTGCAAGTAAGGATGCCTTGCTGGAAGTCTTGAAGCAAGTGGGATGCCTTGATGACGAAGTCTATATGTCGTATATTCCGCTATCCAATGGGACGTTTACTGGCAGTGATTCAGCATTAGAGGATGGTCGAACTGATAGTGATGATGTTAATGATGGAGCTAGTGTACTTCTCAGTCAACTTCAGGAAGGTTTGTGAAAAGTCGTTCAACACTCTTGTACAGAGGCAACAATTATTTGCTCTAAAAAGAGTGCGAACTTCTTGTCCTCTTGAGGGGTACGTAAATCTCTTTTTGCATAGTTATAGTTTATATTAACGTGAGAAGCTTTGCTGTTAGCCCCGCCTACAAAATTCTATCGACAATTCATTTAAAATGCTGAATCCAATGCTTTGAATGTTATTGTGAAGCGGAAATTGCTATGAACATAATAAATCTTTGATAAAATTGCAAAAAATAAAAATAAAAATAAATAAAAAATGGTAAGAAAATTATATGTTTTGTGTTTCGAGCTGCATCTGATAATCATCTCTGAATTATCACGACATTCAAGTCCTTATCAAATGCGACATTATATGTTAGGCTTCTATAACATATTTGGTTGTACTGTTATCCTATTATGATTGAAGGATTAAAGATACACATGAGTATTAGGAAGAGGATTAATGAAATTGCCATCATGCGCTCCAAATTATGGCTAAAATAGCTGTTAAATATATTGCTGGTGTCATTGTCTGCAAAATTTTTATTCTCTTTAGCAGCAATAGAGATGGCTAATGTGCTTTTTCGTGATGGGAACCTCTCTCAATGAGCTGGTACTTGGGATGCTGGCTTCTCTATCATCGTCTCACTAACTTGTTCTTTCGGCTGCTTAAGAAAAAATAGCAGTCCATTTTTTTTTGAATATTGGGTAGTATGGACGGACTATTTTTTGCAGCCTAATTGCATGCATCTCCATCTGAACTCTCGTACATTGAGAACTCTCTTGCTGGTTCAATGTATTCAGATTTGGTGTCAATGTCAAAAATCATAGTGGACCCTTTGATCGATAATTAGAGATCGTGTCTACAGAAAGAACAAACATCAAATCCTCAAGCCACTACACTCCTTGACTTTCATATAATATATATATGATTCATCTTGGGGGTAGTTAGTACAAAACACCATTGACGTTTGTCTCTATTGTAGAATACATTCCTATTTTTTTCATTTGGACGGAAAATCTCCCTAGATAATAACCTTTTCTTTTGTGAAATACAACCCTTTCTTGCATTTTCTCAATAATTTTTTGTGAAATGACTAATACACCTTCATCTTTTACAAGCGCAGTCCCAAGATTTTTGAAATAAATAATTTAAAAATTAAATGGAGGTATAAATTAGTTTTTCAAATTTTATTTATAAAATTAAATTAAATAAATAATTTTCACTATATTTTATTTATTTATTTATAATATTATCGACATATAAGTCGGTTTTTATTTTCTATTTCATCTTCAATGAACTTATTGTAATTAGTGTAGATGTATACAATTATGATCTTCTAAATATCAGTGCTTAGCCTATACTAAGCACCGAGTGACGTGTCATACTACAATAGGTAAAGAAAGATAATTGTTAGTTTTGAAATTGAATACACCACGTATTGTAGTGTGCCACCTAAGTATGGTGCTTAGTATAAATTATGTACCGGTGCTTAGAAGATCAAATCTGTATATGTGTGTGTGTGTGTGTAAATCAAATGGACGGCGACAATATCATCAGTTATATTATTAACGATTACTAGCTGTTGACAGCATTTATCCGTTATCATCGGCCAACAGGGGATTTGGGGTGATAAATGTGGCCAACAACTTGTTTGCATTTTTTTTTTTCAAAAAATTGGGACTATAGTTTCAATTAATAAGTTTTTATTTTTTTCTTCTTTTCTTTTTGTTTTATTTAAAGAGGAGAGTATATTTATCATTTCACAAGAGTTTATTGAGAACATGGAAGAAAATATTGTATTTCTCAAAGAAAAGGTCATCTAGGGGGGGTTTTATGCCAAAATGAAAGGATATAGATGTATTCTCTAATATAGGCAAAGATCAAGGATGTTTTGTACCAATGACCCGTCATCTATCAACTAGAAAGGAAAAAAAATGAAAAAAAGAAAGAGAGTTGTTGTAGGGAGGAAGGCAGGCTGCAGCCAGCAGGGGCACAAGATGGGATCATATGGATGGGGGCCGGGGGGCGGGGGATGAATGCGGTCAATCTTAAAATGTACAAAAAACATTTAACAGCTTGGACAAGTCCATTAGGACATGGTTTTGCTTTTGTTCACACTATTTAAAACAAAAATGCTTGCAGCTTGTGAATTTTATTTGTCTCCCACGTTCTTTTTGAATTTATTGAATTTTTTTTTTTTTTTTTTTTGACTCATGCATGCAACACGTGTTAACTATTAAGTCGGTACATTACACAGTGTTTATATGGAAGGGTTTTGCTACAAGGACAGGGGGGCTGACTGCCCTTTATCGAACCCCACAAATAGTGGGGCAGGGGGGGGGGGGGGTTCCCTTTTTTTTTTTTTTTTGCAGGCCGCACCCACATTTGTGGGGCTTCTGTGAGGGAGGCGGTTCTTTGTTCTATATGGAATTTATTATGGTGAACAACTCTTGATCATGGAACATTCACTGTTGATATATTTCTTCATTAAATATTATAAATTAAAGAACGAGAGTATTTATCCAATTATATCTGCCACGCGACTAGAAAATCTATTAAAATGGGTAAGATTTTCATTTAAAAATGTCGAATATTTTCTTATAATGAACTCATAAACCCTACAAACCAATTGCACCTTTGCTGTATAGTTAGGGACGAGAACTAGTTTTAAACTCTTCTTTTCACTTTCACCTTATATCCTTCAGGTTTTTAAAATCTGTCACCAATAATTGCTTCCTTCTCATGAGCTTATACAGGACCCATAATTAATCTTAGAATTGAGTTGGCCTTAATAATGTTCAAATGTGCACTCACAAGTGAGAACATTAGTCATAATTGCTATTAATTCTTTTAGATTGTATAGAAAAATTTACAATAAAGCTAGTATTAAATTACTATCAATCATGTTTGAAGATCTATACGTTACGCCTAAATAAGAGAAATAAACGTGTTCACTTTCAACTCTCCGGATATCAGAAAAACTAATCCAGAAGTGTCTATTTAAGCCAATCTGGTGCAATAAAAGTGATTCCTAAATTTAACTCAATAAATGTGAATATACAATTCTTGTGATACCAGAGAACTAATCCAAAAGGCGTCGACTCCAAGTCAAATTGAAATTTAAATGCAAGATGCATAAATAAAAAATTTGAAATAATTTGGCAGCAAATCTAGTCACTGATCTCAACATGCATACCAGACAACTCAAAAATGTGATGCCCTTTTGGATCTCTGTTTGGCAACATCATTATATTATAGCTGAAAAAAGAAACAGCAGATCATGTAATAATGCAGTGATGTTACCAAACAAATGCTAGGCCTAACACTAATTATGCAAATTATGAAAGAGAAAAAAAATAAAACCTTGAGGTGGGATCCACAACTCACATTCACTATTTAACATGTAATCACATGATTAGCATATGCTACCTGCACTTCCCCTTGTTTACGACTTTATCATCAAAAGAACCAGTGATAGAGATTTTAAGTACTTGATAATCAATTATTTTCGACTTTTTACGACGGAAGTTCAAATTAAAGAATTGTAAATACCCAACTAAGTCCCAAAAATTTAAGTCAAAAGAACACCAAATCAACATCGGTGGAATATGGACACTGGACTGCTGACCAGAGTTGAGTGAAGCACTGTAATCAATAATCAAAAAATTTCTGAACTAGGCTGCACTTCTTCTTGAGATTTAGAAAAAGTTTGTGTTGAAGAGTTTTTTTTACGGCTTTTAAATTATGTGAAATTAATTTATATCAAAGCAAACAAACGTTCTTAATTTAAGGTCGCAATCCATTTCTTGAACTGTAGATATGCCAAGTTTTTTGGTGAAAATATGAGGGATGAGTTGAGAACTAAATTTAAATGGTGTAACAATGGGAATATTCCATATCCGACAGGACATCCTAGCCATGTTTCACATACCTTAAAATTACTTGCCAGACTAAATGACTGCCTTAGATACAGGTTGTTATACAGATACATGCACAAAAAGTTGAAAAAATAAGTGCCTTATATGCTCCAATGTCACAAGCCACAACACATTGATCATCCCTCTTTCAAAATTCCCATATACAAAAAAATGGCAGACTTTGAGAGCCCAACAATAATGCCTAAACTCATCACCTTCCTCTCTTCTCTCCTCCAACGTGTAGCGGAGTCGAACGATGTTAACCAGATCCTCCAATCCCAGAAACTCTCAGTCTTCCACGGCCTAAGCAGGCCTAATATTTCCATTCAGAGTTACATGGAAAGAATTTTCAAGTATGCAAATTGCAGTCCGTCTTGTTACATTGTTGCGTATGTTTATCTTGATCGGTTTACGCAGTGCCAACCTAATCTTCCGATCAATTCTTTCAATGTTCATAGGCTGCTAATCACTAGTGTCATGGTTGCTGTAAAATTCATGGATGATGTGTAAGTTTCTACTTCATTTTCATTATACATTTATAGTGTAGGTTTTAAACTTTAACTTCTAATAAAAAAAATAAAATTACCCCCCCCCCCCCCCCCCCCAAAAAAAAAAAGACATTACTTTGTTTATTTTTGACCATTAGATTGACATCTGAATTATGATCTTGGATTGATTTTTTCAAAGACTTTTGAATTCTACAAGTTAATCAAATACAATAACTAAATCTTTTTTCCTTGAAACTTAAGTTCTTCATCCTGCAAATATAATTAATTTTTGGGTCCAGATGAGAATCCAGGTTTCTCTTTATTTCCTTTTTGTACAATATATTTTTCTTCAAAGACAGCACTCATTTTATTGGCTTTGAAGGGTCTTTATCTAATGTTCATAACTGAATGTTACAGTCCACAAAGCAAAACTCGACACTAGAATAAACAAGATTTTAAACCTTTTAGATATATTGTAGTGAATGCCAAATTGGACCATAAATCTAAACCTTTTAAATGAATATATTCCAAAACTTTTGTATAGAATCTAATGGAACTTCATCTTTTTATGTATTGACTTGAAAAACACAGGTATTACAATAATGCTTGCTATGCTAAAGTTGGAGGAATCAGCACAACTGAGATAAACTTTCTTGAAGTGGATTTTCTATTTGGATTGGGATTCCACTTGAATGTGACTCCCACCGCATTTTACAAATATTCTTCATACTTAGAGAGAGAAATGATGATGCTTCAACCTCATATAAACATGTCAGAATCTTCCTTATTTATTGGAGTTTCATCAAAACGTCACTTGTCTTTCAGTGAAGATGAATCACCCCATCATCAACAACAGCAACTTGCTGTTTGAGATCAATGCATTTCTTCTTGTCAGGGGCGGAGCCAAGAATTTTGTCCAGTGCGGGCAAAATTTAGTCAATGTCGGACTTTTCGATTATGGATTTAATGATATTACAATAATGCTAAAAATGACATAGTGACAACACTAATAAGATTACCATCTTCTTCCTTATTCTAGGATTTGTAGCAAATTGTGCAACATCAAAAATCAATTTTATTCGATATCTTCTCATCAACATTTTCTACGAAATATTTTTTTTTTAAAGAAACTCTCCATTGACATTTCACACTAAAATAAACCACAAGTGACAATTAAATACTAATTGATAAGGAAATAATTACAATTTTTTACAAATTGGTAGAACACCATAAAATCATCCCTAATTGTTTGACTAATTGACAAAAATCAAGATTTTAAGAATCCATCACAAATATTACCAATATTCAATATTCACATAATCATAATCACTAATATTAAATAGAAAAATCACATTATCAAGAAACTTTTTGATGCAAATTTGAGGGCCCAAGGAAACGTGGGTTTTAAGAAAGAGATGAACTTTGAAAATATTTCAAACCGATGGTAAATTAAAGGAAATTTTTTAATTTCTTGTCGAGGGGAAAGAGTTAGAAAATGTCACCGTGCACTTGGAGTTGGGGTAAATTAGTGTATCGATTGGACTATAAATAAAAGTAAAACCCAACCTTATAAAAAAAAAAAAAAAAAAAATGGAGTCCAGTAAATGCCCGCACTGGACACTGAGTGGCTCCGCCACTGCTTGTTGTAGTCAAGTTAATTAGTCATATGGAGCAGCCAATTAAAAACCGTCATTGTATTAGATGTTATGATATATTTGGTATGAAGTATTAGTAAGACTCGGAAATACAACATTTAAGGTTTTTACCCCCTTTTTTTTTTTTTTTTAAATTTTATTTACTATTGGATGTTTGTTTTGTCCGCCTTTCCAAACAAACCATGTTGTTCATATAAATTTCGATCATTCTTGGGAAAATTTTCGTCCCCTTTTTTCAGAATTATTTTTTTGAAACTGTCGTTGTCAATGGAAGTCGTTGTCTCATTGATGGTTGACCCAACAATTTTACATTTAAAGAAAAACTATTAAGAAAAGAAAGAACATCATTTTCATTGCAAATAAAGAATCAAGATTGTGCGTGTCCCTAACGTTCACAGTTGGGCAGAAGTTGGTGCTGAGGTTCAATCTGGAAAGGGCCATCAATAGTGACAATAAAAGGGGTGTAATTAGTTTGTACAAAACGATGGTTATTTTTGGTTATGAGACAAACTTGACAGTTGTATTTGATCGTGTTAAATCATGGAACTATAAATAATTGTAGTTGAGCATGTGCCAACTTGAGAGAGAGAACATGGCTTGTTTTATTCTTTCTAATCCAAATTATAGTATTTGTTACTAATCAATATAGAAAGGTCTACGTGAAGACCTCACATTCATACACATGGCAAGCACCCAAGAATTGGTGCAGAAAGGACTAACGTTCGAAGTTGTCAAATAAAGTACCGAGGTCGTTGCACTAAGTTCTGTCAAAGTGATTCACCCTCTACTATCTGAAGTCCTTTACAATCGGAAGGGAGTCGGACAAGCACGACTTCAGAGTTGACTCGTGATGTGCACAATTAAAGAGTGTTAGGAATGTCAGCCTAGTTTATAGAGTGGCTGACAAGGTCTATCAATGTAATTAATGAGCAATAGAATTGATATAACAGTTAGGGTCGGCAAGTCAGACCACGTGAATCCAATCCAACGATGAGCACGTCGACCTAATCACTATAAATAGACAATACTTATATCAATTGAAAAATCTGAAAAAAAAATACAAAGAGGGAAATACAATACTTCCATTGCCTACTATTCATCTTCTCCAACAAAAATATCTATTTTATAATTAACACACTACGAAGCACGCCCATGTGCACATTGTCCTTCAGCGACACTTGTTGGCCACTTTCGAAGGTCAACAGATTTGTGAACACCTAAATTTTCAGAAAAGGCCAAGGAGGAGAACCTTTGAGAAAAGGGGAATATCCTTTGGGAAGAAGGGTGCAACGCACATACCCTAAAAACAACATTCACGCACAAAAAGAATTTTGGAAAGATAGCATGAGCACTAGTGAAGAAGAACCCGCTCTTTGAAGAATGAGGAACATCCTGAAGAAGGAGAACCCTTGCACACTACCCCCAACATCTCGCTATCGTTTTCAATAGTCGAACAGACAAGGTGGCTCACCCAGTAGGGCTCGAGGAGGTTCCGGATTAACCGTTAGGCTCACTAGGGAAGTAGCCACTATAGTTGAGAATATAAGAAATATTACTCAGCAGAATCTTGCTATGCATGAATTGCTAAGGAACATGCAATATCAAGGAAGGTATCCAATCCCACCATACGTCCCCAAGGGAACACTTTTCTGCAGGGCAATTATTATAGAGACGATGATAAGGTTCATAGCTGGGAGACTGGATACCAGCAATATCCAAGAGAAGACGTCCCTCAGGAGAGAGAAGTGGGGATAGATACCTCGACAAATTACGTTTCGGACCAATACGTCGAAGCTCCCCTCAACTTTCTATCGGCATATAATCCAAGAAATCCAGTTAGAAGGTCAATAAGTGTTTTTTTATAGATTAAGCTCGGGGCATCCTTGTAACAAGGGTGACCAACATTCCTTGCCTAGAAATAGGCAGCAAGAAGGGCCTCGATTGAGAGTGCCCAATGACCTTATGGAAGAAAATGCTGACCCCCGCCTAGAAATAGGTGAGAAAGAAGAACAGAACAAGCATGGCGACGGATAGGACAATCCGATCTGCCTGTGGAAGCCCCTGACATAGGAGAAGGTAATTCCAATGAACCACAAAGATCTTGCGACCTCGACGATGATAATGACAACTTGCCATTTTCACAAGAAATCAGAAATGCTCCAATGCTGAATCACTTCACACTACCTAAAATACCTAAGTACAACGGAAAAGGAGACCCCGCGAAACACCTCAAAAACTTCAAAACCCACATGGGACTTAGGGGTACAACACCGACAATGAAGTGCAGGGCCTTCCACCTATCGCTTAGTAGTGCAGCTGAAGTATGGTACACTAGGCTGGGGCCCGGAAGTATATGGAGCTGGCCAGATTTTAAGAAGGCTTTTTTTTAACGTTTTGCCGTAAGCAAGGAAGGCGAATGACCAATTCAACGATTACAGGATATGAGGCAACAACCCGGAGAGTCACTCAAGAGCTTCCTGACTCGTTTCACCCATGAGATGACCTATTGTGTATAGGTCACTGATAGAGAAGCACTGACTGCCTTAAGATGAGGACTAGACAAGAATTCTCTCTTTTGGAAGGATGTGCAGAACAAAGACCCCACTAGTTATGACACATTGTTAGAAATGATACGGCGAGAGATCATTAATGAAGAATTTAGGGATCATCGTAACAGGGCAAATCAAGGGCTCCCACCTCCACAAATACAGAGAGGAAAAGGCTCGACTTCACATCTGACTGACCAGCAAGATAGACCACTTCTTTTAATCCGGGTCAGGCACTAGTAGCAAACAACACTTAACGCCATCCCAACTTTGGCTTATGAAGAAGTGAATCTCAACACCGAGGTACACGAGGAAAGAGTACCTCAACAACTCTCCTGAGGACGAGGCACTCAACCTAGAAATAGGAATGAGACCCCTCCGTCATCAATCCTACAGTCATAGTACAGCAGGATGTTGGGACATAGCTAGACACCCATCCAACCAAAGAAGGAATGAAAGTCGAGAAAATGATTCCTCTAGACAAGGTCGGGAGAGAAGAAATAACAGGAACCGACCCAGCAGAAACCCTTCCCCAAACGCCGGACATGAAACCATTTGAGAAATTGACACAATATTTGGAGGGCCATACGTAGGTGGCGAAACAGAAGTGCCCAAAGAAACTAGGCTAGAGAAGCCAATGACCCTCCAATGGCTAGTTTCATAGTCAATAGTGGCCAAGGCCCCAGTGATAAAAAGATTGAGCCCGTCATATTCACCCCAGATGATGTTGTTGGAATACACTATCCTTATTGCGACGCCCTGGTTGTACGGGCAGTCATAGCCAGAAATGGCCTCAAAAGGATATTGGTAGACAACGGTAGTTCAGTTAATATAATATATGGTATGACAAAATGGAGGTTGACCATGAACTAACACCGATTAATTCTCCGCTTTACGGATTCACGGGAGACAGCATCTTCCTCGGGGAAAAATCACCTTGGCAACAGAAATGGGAGTGGTGCCCCTCACGGCCTACAATTTCATGGAATTTCTAGTGGTGGATCATCATTCAGTATATCACAGAGTATTAGGGAGACCTGCCTTGAAAGAACTATAGCAGTAACCTTCATTCATCACATCTGCATGAAGTTTCCTACTGAACGGGGCATTGCTGTTGTCAGAGATGACCAACGAAGCACCAGGGAATGTTATTCTAGCTCTGTGCGAAAAAACAATTTACCTAACATTAACGTCGTATTAATGGAAATCAATGAGGTCAACTGCCTCGTACAAGGGGAGGACGTCGACATGATCGATGCCTCTGGAGAAGAGGCCATGGATATTCAGAATACCTTGGAAGAAGAAATGGGGTCTGCAGAAGTCCCTTAGGTAGATGAACTGGAACCCCGCATAATTGAAGATGAGCCCAAAAGATGACTCTAATGAAAAAATTGGAAAGCTTCAAAGTAGGCTTTCCGACCTCACCCAAATTCTTCCTAGTAGGCAAGAACTTATCCCTGCCTTGAAAGAAAAACTGCAGAACTTCCTGCGAAGTAACTTGGATGTGTTCATGTGGAAACATGAAGATATGGTTGGGATAGATCCGAAGGTTATTTGGCATCACTTAAAGATCAGCCCCAACTTAAGTCCTCACCAGCAAAAGAGGAGAGCCTTAAATCCAGAAAGTTACGGAGCCTTGAAAGACGAGGTGAAAAGTTGATCGCCAACTAATTTATCAGGGAGTCAGTTTATTCGAAGTGGGTTTCTAACCCGATGTTAGTGAAGAAGCACAACGAAAAGTGGAGAATATGCATAGACTTCTCTAATCTGAACCAAGCTTGCCCAAAGGACAGCTTCCCACTCCCACGAATAGATCAGTTGGTTGATTCCACAGCTGGCCACAAATTGTTGAGTTTTGTGAACGCTTACTCCGGCTATAATCAAATCCTAATGAACCCTTAGATGAAGAGCACACGTCCTTCATCACAGTCAGAGATCTATATTGCTATAAGGTAATGTCTTTCGGCTTGAAAAATGCCGGAGCCACCTACCAAAGACTTGTGAACAAAATGTTTGTCGACCTCCTGGGCAAAACAATGAAGGTTTATATCAACGCTATGCTGGCAAAAATCCTGAAAGCTAACGACCATGTCCACTACCTAGAAATGATTTTCCAGATTCTCCATAGGTATAAGATGAAATTCAACCCCTTCAAGTGCGCCTTTGGAGTAGCCTCGGGTAAATTTTTAGGCTACATAGCGAATCAAAGAGGCATTAAGGGAAATGCAGATAAGATCAAGGCCTTGATAGAAATGAGGTCACCTCAGAAATCTAAAGAGGTCCAGAGCCTCACAGGACTAGTTGCTGCTCAGAACCGCTTCATATCTAAGGCAACACATAAGTGCCTCCCATTTTTCGAAATTCATAAAGGAGGGAACTAGTTTCCATATACACACGAATGTGAAGAGGCCCTGTAGGCGCTGAAAAAGCAACTCGGCCAGACACCACTCCTGTCAAAACCTAGAGATGGGGAGTCCCTGCTATTATATCTAGCTATGACTATAGAAGCAGTCAGTTCGATTTTACTACGAGAAGAGGAAGGTCAGCAGCTGCCTATCTACTACATAAGCAAGACACTCCTAGCAGCTAAAACACGCTATCCAGATATGGAAAAACTTGCTCTAGCACTAGTCACTGCTTCACGAAAGCTGAGGCCCTACTTTCAAGCACACTGTGAAGGTACTAACCAGTTTCCCTCTCAAACAAGTGCTTAAAAAAATAGACGCTTTTGGAAGACTGTTGACGTGGGCTTCGAATTAAGTGAGTTTGACATAATCTTCAAAGCAAGAACAACAATCAAGGGTCAGGCATTGGCTGATTTCGTAGTCGAGTTTAACTCGCTTCCAGAAATGGAGCCAGTCGACCCCTTATCTGAAGTTTGTGTGTTGATGGATCCTCAAGAGAAATCAGGTCAGGAGTAGGCATTGTCCTGATTAGTCTAGAGAGACACAAACTCAATTGTGCTCTAAGGTTTGGGTTCAAAGCGACCAACAATGTCACCAAATATGAGGCTTCGCACCAACATTTCTTGGCTGGCCTTAGACTAGCCAGAGAAATGCAGGTCAAGAGGCTCCACACTAGTTGTGATTCCCAACTCGTGGCTAGCCAGGTTAATGTCAACTTCGCTGCCAAGGATAAAAGCATGATTGCATATCTCAAACAGGTCACCAAATTGATCCCCACTTTTGAAAAATTTGAGTTAATGTGAATCCCCAGGGCTGAAAACTCCCATGCTGATGCCCTCTCAAAGTTAGCCAGCAGTAAGGACTTCGAACTGCTTACTACTATCCCTATTGAACTCTTGCCGAAGACCTCAATTTCAAAGGAACAGAATGTGATGTGGGTAGAAGACACCCCTACATGGATGGCCCCGATCATTACCTTTTTACAAGACCAACTCCAACCCTCTGATAAAGAGGAAGCACGAAAGCTGAAGAGGTGGACTGCACATTTCATCTTTCAAGATGGCATACTTTACAAACGAGGCTTATCTTTACCCCTACTCCGGTGTATAGATGGAGGACAAGCTACTTATGTTCTGAGAGAAATACATGAAGGAGTGTGTGGCAACCACTCCGGAGAATAGGCTTTATCCTAAAAAGTTCTAAGACAAGGATACTATTGACCGACCTTGAAAAAGGACGCCCAACGATTGGTAAAAGTGTGACAAATGCCAACGTTTTGCAACTGTCCAACAACAACCTGCCTAGGAGCTCAATGTTGTGTCTAGACCCTAGCCGTTCGCCAAATGGGGTGTTGATTTGATCGGACCTATGCCTAAAGGTTGAGAAAGTGTCTGTTTTGCTATTGTGGTAATCGATTATTTTACTAAGTGAGTCAAAGCCTAGCCCCTACCAAGATAATCGAAGCTAATACTTCGAAATTCTTGTGGAAGAACATTATCTGTAGATTTGGGATTCCCCACTCGATTGTATCAGACAGTGGGTGCCAGTTTGATAATAAAAAGGTCAAAAACCTATGCGACGAACTAGGGATCAAGAAACATTTTTCTTCCCCACACCATCCCTGGGCAAATGGGCAAGTTGAAGCTGTTAACAAGACCATCAAATACACATTGAAGAGGAAGTTGGATGCCTCAAAAAGTGCTTGGGTTGACGAGCTACCTCAAGTCATGTGGGCAATTCGAACCACAAACAGAACAGACACTGGCCAGACCCCTTTCTCCAAAACCTATGGAGTCGAGGATATGAGTCCAGTCGAAGTGTGTCTGCCAACCCTTTGAGGGATACACTTCAACGAGATTTCCAACGAGGAGTTAAGAAGGTGTGAATTGGATTTCCTTGAAGAAATGAGGGATGAATTCCAGTCCAAATTGGCTATATTCGAAAGAAAGATGACGAGGTACTATAACTCGAAGGTCAAGAAAAAGACATTTCGTATAAACGACCTCGTCCTCCGTAGAGTGTTCCTATCCACAAAGGAAGTAGGGGTCGAAACCTTAGGCCCCAATTGGGAAGGACTGTACCGTATAACAGAAGAGGTCAGAACTAGTATCTACAAAATCGGAACCTTGGATGGAAAGGTACAACCTCATCCATGGAACGCAGAACATCTTCGAAATTATTATCAATGAACTTTTTATAAGACCGCATAATGGTTTATTAAATTCAACAAGTTCAGCATTCACTCTGCGAATTATCCTATTAAACTAAGTTGAGTCTCGAAGCGGACCATTTTAGTAACAAAGTAGGGAAAGAGGCTATTGCTAGCATACTACAATCAACATCAAATACGACAAAGAAAGCTAAACGGTTAAGCCACCACCACTTCATTAATAATGGCTAAAAAGCAAGTAGGGTATTTGCATAAAACAAAATTGTGGCACGAAGTCAATGAACATAAACAAGTAAATAAACTTGTAAAGAAAATAAATTCCATAAATCATTAGAAAACTTGTACACAAAGGGCCTCAGACGATGCTAAAGTTACAATTAAAAGGAAAAACAAACTCCTATCTAAATAGGTGGGGGAGGAAGAGGTATAAATGGATCTATGGCTTGGGATGCCACCTCATGGACATCAGCCTCCACCTCGGTGGCTTCGCCTTCAATCTCAATAATTTGACTTCCCTCTGTCGATGTTTGTGGCTCACCCTTCTCCAAATACTCCACCCTTAGTCCTGAGGTATTGATAGCTTGAAGGTTGGCCTCAATCCATTCCATCACCTTGGTATAAGCATACCTCCACCAATAGGCACCAAAGCTTTGGTACGCCTCCATTAGGTGGAAGTTGGCAATGAATCTTTTTTCTGCCTCACCATCTGCAGCTTCAGCCTCCTTCTTCGCAGTCTTGACCTCCTTCACTAAACCAAAGATTTGAGAGGTTAGCTCCTCCACTTGTTACTTCAAAAAAGTATTCTCTTTATTGGCCAAATCCAGGGCCTCAGCAGCAATCCTTTGGTGGTTATTTGATGTCTCTACTCACTTCGTCAGAGAGGCCACCTCGCTCTGGGGATAGGTGGACCTCCTTCTTCAAATTTCAATTTCTTCTAAGGCACCTCAGATGATCCCCATTGAGACCCCAACAGAACTAGGGGACTATGAACTCAATTTTCAATGTCATCTCCCTCTCATAAATTCTAATTCCCACATCACTGTTGGTAAATTAGACTTGGGGGATTGGCATCCATCATGGATTTCATTTCTTGGAAATTATGAAATTATAAATTCTATGTACCATATAAATGATCGTACACAGACTTGGAGGACTATTGTTACTAATCAATACAGAAAGGTCCACGTGGAGACCTCACATTCATACACATGGCAAGCATCCAAGAATTGGTGCAGAATGGACTAATGTCTGAAGCTGTCAAATAAAGTTCCAAGGTCATTGCTCTAAGTTCTGCCGAAGTAATTTACCATCTACTATCTGAAGTCCTTTACAACCGGAAGAGGGTCGGACAAGTACATCTTCAGATTTGACTCATGTAACGTGCGTAGTTAATGAGTGTCAGAATTGTCAGCCTAGTTTATAGAGTGACTGATCTCTTGCTAAAAGTCTATCAATGTATTTAATGTGTAATAGAATTGATTTAGCAGTTAGGGTCAGCAGATCAGGACACGTGAATCCAATCCAATGGTGGCTACATCAGTCTAATCACTATAAATAGACAATACTTGTATCAATTAAAAGATCTGAAAAAATACAAAGAGGGGAATACAATACTTCCATTGCCTTCTATTCATCTTCTCCCACAACAATATCTATTTTATAATTAACACACTACGAAGTACGCTCACGTGCACATTGTCCTTCAACTACACCCGTTGGCCATTTTCGAAGGTCAACAATATTTATTCCTGGTAATGGGGAATCATTCAAGGTTATGTGATTGGCACCACAACGAGAATGTACTTATATTATGTGCAATTTTAGTTTCTGTGAGGATAAAATGGTCCAGAGCATGTGATACTCTTATTCAAGACCGATCCTGTGATTGTCAGTGCTTGAGGTGAAGTTCATAAATTGGGCCCTTAGAGAAATCAACTTAAGTGCAAAATTCAACATTGTATTATGCAATCTGTAGCTGACTTAAAACTAACATTAAAACAACAATCAAATATATTATAGAATAGATTTATATTATAAAATAACAAAACCAACAATGTTTCAAGCAGTTAGTTAAATACTATTCGCCTTATTGTTTTAGAGGCAAAAAGATCAATCAAATCTGAATAATTTAGCTGCTCAGTCATTTCTTTATCTATTGATAACATAAGCCGACAAGGCATCAAACATTTTCAACTTCTTCAATAATAAGTAAGGGCGAGCCATTGGCTACCTAAAAAGTGGAATTTCGACGAAAATTGTGGAATTACACCCTTGAGAATTCCACTGTCACAACTCACGAGCCTAAAATAAAAATTTAAATAAAATCAAAGATTTTAATCATAGAGTGAATGAACTTGTGCCAAGTGTGGAAGTACAGATAAAGAAATCCGCATAATTGACTAAAGATTTATACTGCTTAAGATCCTTTGTGATGTGTTACAAAATTGATTGTACTTTTTATTTCTAAATAATCATTATGATACTTAAACTACACATTATCAAATTTCAGTAAAATTAAATTTAGGGAATTCCAACATTGTAAGAAGTTATCCAAATCAATTCCTTCAATTAAATTATCAAATTCATTACCAGGTGTAAAATGGATTTTCTAACTTTACAAGTCAATAGTCATTAAACTGTAATTATTTAAATATCTAAGTTATCTATTATTAAAAAAAATTATATTGATGCTACCATTTTTCAAGTTTAACTAAACGCGACAACTTACATATGAGCTATTGGCTTGAATAAATTCTTGAAATACGTGATCCAATCTCATCTTCCATTATTGCTTCTGTGATACTTTAAGTGCATGATAATGTTAACTTGGATAGGATACCATAATAGGAAGTCACCATATTATTTTTAAGGGACTTCAAGTAGAATCCTTGAATTGTTACGATTATGTTGGAAGATACGAGAGTAAAGATACTTAGAGAATGCTTTCCCATTCACTCTAACACACATGTCAGCCATCTCGAACCATAAACATCAACCTGTCAGGAAGACACTCAATAAGCAAATTGAACTGAGTTATATTCTACACGTACACTAAAACATGCTCCATTACAAATTAGTAGTAGAGCAGATGCAGGGGAAATCTTGTGATTGTCAGGGCCTGAGGTGAAGTCCATAAATTGAGCCCCCAGCAAAATCAACTTAAATGCAAAATTCAACGGTGTAATATGCAACATATTGCTAACTTAAAACTAACATTAAAACAAAAATCAAATATATTATAGAATAGATTTATTTTATAAAATAACAAACCAACAATGTTTCAAACAATTAGTTAAATACTATTCACCTTACTGTTTTAGAGGCAAAAACATCAATCAAATCTGAATAATTTAGCTGCTCAGTTATTTCTTTCTCTATTGGTAATATAAGCCGACAAGGCTTCAAACATTTTCAATCTCTTCAATAACAAGTAAGGGCAAGTCATTACTTACCTAAGAAGTGGAATTTCGACGAAAATTGTGGAATTACAATCTTGAGAATTCCACCATCACAACTTACGTGCCTAAAATAGAAATTTAAATAAAATCAAAGATTTTAATCATAAAGTGAAGGAACTTGTGCCAAGTGTGGAAGTGCAGATTAAGAAATCCTCATAATTGACTAAAAATTTATACACTACTTAAGATCCTTTTATATTTGTGATGTGTCACGAAATTGACTGTGCTCTTTATTTCTAAATAGTCATTATGACACTTAAACGGGCATACCAGCATTGTTGCATTGTAAGAAGTTATCCAAATCAATTCCTTCAATTAAGTTATCAAGTTCATTACCAGGTGCAAAATGGATTTTCTAACTATACAAGTCAATAATCATTAAGCTATAATTATTTAAATATCTAAGTTATCTATTATTAAAAAAAAATTCATATTGATGCTAATGATTTTACATTTTTCAAGTTTAACTAAACGCGACAACTTACATATGAGCTATTGGGTTGAATAAATTCATGAAATACGCAATCCAATCTCATCTTCCATTCTTGCTTCTACGATACTTGAAGTGCCTGAAAATGTTAACTTGGAGAGGGTACCATAATAGGAAGTTACAATATTATTTTAAGGGACTTCAAGTAGAATCCTTGAATTATTATCACAATTATGTTGGAAGATACGAGAATAAAGATACTTAGAGAATGCTTTCCCATCTACTCTAACACACATGTCAGCCATCTCTAACCATAAACATCAAATTGTCAGGAAGACACTCAATAAGCAAATTGAACTAAGTTATATTCTACACGTACATTAAAACATTCTCCACTACAAATTAGTAGCAGAGCAGATGCTTGGAAAGAAGAAAACACCGTAAAATTCGCCAAAAAGGATAGTTAATTCCATTATTTACCCTAACCCACACACCTAGTGACATTTATGGAATGATTAAACAAAACTATCGACTTTGAGCACATGTTTTCTAAAACAAAGTTTTTTCCTTTTTCGAGGATACTAAAACTCCTCTTGTGGGTTTTGATATGATCCAGGAGTCGAGCCCGACGAAGGCAAGTGCGAGACGAGACCCGTTGATAGTCGATGGCTAACCAATGATGTGATCAAGGGCAAAGCAAGTGAAACAAGCGATGGGATTGCTCATTCAAGAAACCATTGATGGAACCATGTTCGGGACTCAAAATGGAGCAACTTTCAT